TTGTTATTTACAGTAAGATAAATACATTCACCAACTTTTATTAAAATAAAACCATTTAAACTGGGTGTTCGGATTTATATGTCACTTAGTATATATGTAATTTCCAAAATGGATAACACAAAGAACTTACAGCTTAGACCTCCAGTAATGCCATCTCAGAAGCAGATTTTACATCACATCAGAGCCAAAGATTGATAACAAGCCTCATGACATTTAGGCAATACATACAACTAGGTGCTAAGTTAATATCTTGTAGAAAAACCTACATAATGTCAAAAAAAAATCGGAATAATGTCACTTGTCAAGATACGTGATGAACCGCCGGTTGATCAATAGTTGGACTGTCAAATTAACATAACCACGATAAGGACTCTGAACGCGCCACCACTGCCTCTATCCTGTAATCCTGATTTTTAAAACGATATCAATACGGACTATTTATTGCCTTCCTCTTGTTGCAAAAATACACCATTCAAGGAAATGTTGCTTTTACTCTTACTGAATCATATCAACTCTAAATACTCCCTAGTACTTTTCTACTTCTACTACAGAATATCAGACAGCGCGTTGACGTTTGGTAACCTGGTGACATACAAGGGATGTCTTTTAAGTTTTGCATATAGAAATAAAACAACACGGAAGGCAGTTTTAAATGACTCTATTGTTTTTCGAAGTATTCTCCACGAAGATTAATAAACATCTGCATGCGCTCGAACCAATTTTCGAAGCACTTATTCCACTCGTTTGCTGGCAGATCCAAAACGGCATTTTTGAATGCGTCAACTGCTTCTTCTGGTGATTGGAACCTTTGACCACGTAGTCTGTTTCTAATTTTCGGGAAAGTAAATAAATCGTTAGGACTTAGATCGGTACTATATGGAGGATGGTCAAATAATTCCACGTTTTCTTCCGTTAAATACTGCCTTGTTTTTTGGGCTGTGTGTGAGCTTGTATTGTCTTGGTTTTTTTTTTATATCGAAACAGCCGCGCAGGCAGAAGCCTAAATGCCGGAACACCGCGGCTGCTATGATGATCCCAAAGAAATTTTGTTAATACGATTTTTGAACTGCCTAAGGTTAGTAGAACTGGGAAAAGCTTCCTCCCGTAGATTGTTCCACAATCTAGACACCCTCGGGACAAAGGAGCGGTCGTATCGGCCAGTTCTGGATGTACGAAGTTTGACACGGTTAGGATGGGACGCCGAAGTCAGGCGGGTCTGTCTGGCAGGCGCATCGCGCGGCGGCATCATGGAAGAGAGCTCTGAGGAGCAAAGCCCGTTGGTGTAGCGATAGAAAAGAGCTAGATCGCCGACGGCCCGCCGGTGCGAAAGAGTCCCGAGACTGTCTGTTAGAGAAGAGTCGTCGATCAGTCGGACCGCCCTCCTCTGGACAGCATCGAGCATGGACAATGTAGTCGGGGCGGCAGCACCCCAAATGTGTGAGCAATACTCGAGGCTAGGCCTTATCTGGGCCTTGTATAGAGTGAGAATGTCATGCGGAGAAAAGTACTTCTTAGCCCTAAACAAATAGCCTAGCTTTTTCCCAGCAGCTGCAGCTATTGAAGAGATGTGTTCGTGCCAGATCAGGTCCTCGGTGATCTGGACTCCGACCAGCCGAAATGAATGGCTCTTTGGTAGAACTCGACCGTCCATCGAAACTGTATGAGCGCTAGGACGCTTTTTGTTCGTCAAAGTACAGTACTGTGTTTTGGAAGCATTGAACTGTACAAGATTGTTGCGTCCCCAAGCAGTGATAGCCTCCAGGTCTCTTGTCAGAGAAGAAGTCGTCGCTAGTCTTCTTTTTTCCAGCTCAGCGGCAGAGATCGGCTTGTCACTCTGAATTCCTGCATGTAGAGTGCTGTCATCAGCGAAGCTGTGGATTGGGTTGATCGTGCAGGAAAGGAGGTCGTTGATATGTAAGAGAAACAGTGTTGGAGCCAGGACCGATCCCTGGGGAACACCCGCGTTGACTTTGTGGGATGAAGAGGAGAATCCGTCAATTACGACGGATATCTTGCGGCCAGAGATAAAGTCAGCCACCCATCTGCAAAGCTTTTCTGGGAGGCCATAGGATGAAAGTTTGCTTAAGAGGGCAGCGTGCCACAGCTGATCGAACGCTTTCGTGATGTCAAGAGTAACGACATGAGCCTCACCATGAGACTGGATGAGTTTACTCCACAGTTGCGTGACGTAAGCTAGGAGGTCCCCTGTGGATCGTTGGTGCCGGAAACCGTACTGCCTGTCGTTAATCAAGCTGTGACGTTCGAGGTAGTCCAGAAGCTCGCGATTTATGCACCTCTCCATCACTTTACTTATAACAGAAAGCAGAGCTATAGTCCTGTAGTTGTGAGGGTCGGTTTTAGATCCTTTTTTTGGGATGGGCTGTACATGAGCAAATTTCCAGGTTTCTGGGAAGGTGCCGGATTCATAAGATATCTGGAAGAGACGCGAAAGAACTGGAGCAAGCTCCGCTGCACATCTCTTCAGTACAATGGCAGGAATCAAGTCCGGACCAGAAGCTTTGTTGATGTCGAGCGACAAGAGCACTCGTCTTACGGTCTTATGCCTGAATGTTACCTCCCGCATAGTGTGGGGAACCCTTTGAATTGACGGCACTTGGGCGTTGGTGGGGACGTCCATGGTGGAGTTGGCAGCAAAGATCTTGGCTAGCACTTCCTCCTTGGCCTTTGAGTCGAATACAATAGTTCCATCCTGACACGTAAGTGGTGGAAGGCTACTGTGTGAGAAGTTCTTTTCAATCTGGTTGGCCAGCGTCCAGAAAGACCGACTGCCATTGCGCTGCGACATTACCCTGTGCCTAACTTTTATATCATGCTGGTTTTTGGCATTGCGAACCGCTTCGTTATATCTGTTTCTGGACTCGACGTCGGCTTGTCTGTTCTCTACAGTGGGGTTTTGTAAGTAGGTTCTGTGGGCCTTGATCTTCTGCTGGCGAGCAGTGTCACACGATTTGTTGAACCAGCCGTTGGACCCTGGTTTAGGAACTTTCACTGTGTGAGGGAAAGTAAATAAATCTTTAGGACTTAGATCGGGACTATATGGAGGATGGTCCAATAATTCCACGTTTTCTTCCGTTAAATACTGCCTTGTTTTTTGGGCTGTGTGTGAGCTTGTATTGTCTTGGTGGAGGATGATTCTTCTTTCGGGGTTGATTTTTCGAAGCTCGGTGATGACTTTTGGCAAACAAATGGTGGTATACCAATCCGCAGTAACAGTTCTTTGCTCATTAAGAGGAATTGGTGCAATATGACCCGCTTTTGACACAAATGTCGCGACCATCTGTTTCGAAACACTTCGAGAACGGATGACTTTTGTTGGCTTTTCTTCACCTTGGAACACCCAAACAGCCGACTGTCGTTTATTTTCTGGTTCATAACAGTAAATCCACGATTCATCACCACTAACAATGCTGTACACATTTTTTGAGTTTCCGGAATTGAAACGGTCAAGCGTTTTTGACACCAATTAACCCTGGCTGCTTTCTGGTCTTCAGACAACAGGTGGGGTATCCAACGCGAAACTAATTTTCTTACTCCTAATTCTTCATGTAAAATTTTTTGAATTGAGGTCTTTGAGATCTTCAAGGACGCCTCAATCTCGCGATATGTCACATGTCTATCTTCAATGATGAGTTTGCGCACAGCATCGACGTTTTCCTGGGCGACTGACGTTTTTGGTGCACCCACCCTGGGATCGTCGCTAAGACTCACCTGTCCACGTTTGAATTCTCCATGCCAACGGGAAATTGTCGACTGATGTGGCGCTTCGTTGCCAAAAACAGACAGTAACTCAGCAAGGCATTCTTGTTGCGATAATTGTCTCTGAAAGTTGTAATAAATTATGGCGCGAAAATGTGCTCGGTTGAGTTCTATTTTTCTAATGACTCGGTGACACTTAAAAATTCACTGTAGTGAGAACACTGCAGGTATTGCTGTGAAACTTTGAATTTAATTTTACTAAAGAGTGAGTTTAAGATTCAGTACTGACGATCGATCCGCTCGGTTTCTATATGCAAAACTTCAAAGACATGGTACCAGCCTAATTTTTTTAATATATTACTCCCCTCCCCCATTCCCGCTCTTCAATTACTACCAATGTTCATAGCTCACTTTTTTCTCAATGAGACTAACTTGTGCCAAACACAATCTTTTATGAACTGATGACAAAGTGGGAAACGCAAACCATCTTTTTTAATCGAATGTATTGTAAAAACGAAAGGTGGATTGAGGGTGGTAGATTACCCTGCTTATTATTTGTAAGCTCAACGCCGGCCAGGGTCCACGGATCACGTCCATTAGGCGCTGCATACATCACTTCTTTCATTCTCGATAAATCGATGGTGTTAAAATCCAACAGGGTATTTTTAGACGTCAGCATATATTCATCGAGTGGATGTTAAATTGTCCGTACATACTACATAACATAATGTTTCAACCTAGTGCCCCAGGTGCACGTCCATCAGGGTGTGTACATACGCCGGAGCTCAAAAAAAAATTAGAAAAATGGACATTTTGGCGTCAAGCATTGGCGGCTCGTGGCAAAATAAAACAGGTGTTCTGCAAATCCGAACTTACCTATTTTTTGTATGACAGTTCGATCCTGCTCTGCTTCTTGGCAGGAAATTTGTCGATCACCTTCCCGTTGAAATTTTCCATGGTCGAAATAAATTCCTTTTCAACGGACAGCATCGACAACGCTGTAAAGCGATCGTGGGTCATAGTATTACGAAGAAAAGTCTTGATTCTTTTCAATGTTGAGAAATTTCGCTCAGCCTCTGATGTTGACATAGGAGTTGTAACAATAATTTCTAATAGCTTTTCTGTTTCTTTTAGTATCAAAAATTTTAAAAGAGACAGAGTTCCATGTAAAGCTCGGCAATCATTCCGTGCATAAATAACTGACAACTCTGTCTTTAAACGACTTTTTCCTAATTCGGGATAAGCCAAGCAGGTAGTTTCCAACTTGTCATCAGGAAACTTACCACAGTATTCTCCAAAGTGTTCGGGGAAAAAAAGGGATGCGACTACCAAATGATCTTTGAATTGAAATCTGTCATTTGCAGAATTCACTATATTGTCGCATACTTCTAATGCGGCAACTCGGTGATCGTGACTGCTATTATTACGTCGTCTCCTTTTGTTGCCTTGGGGTTCAGTGCAAATACTTTTGGCTTCATTTATTATGTCATCAATTTTATTTCTATCATCGACAATACAGTTATCAAAATTATCGATAGCCGTTTTAACTTGCGCTGGCTCGGTTTTTCTCTTCTGCAACTGGTTGAACAAGATGTCGACAATATTAAAATTCCAACGATTTGTTGCTCCTTGTGGAATTTTTTCCCCACAATTATGTTCAATACCTCTACGCGTTTAGAAGAATTATTAAAAAATCCTGGAATATCTTTCAAATCCCCAAAGAACACCCGAACTTGAGCATTTGCCGAAGCAGCTTGGGACATAATCAGGTTTAACTGATGCGCATAGCAATGCACATAGTGAGCAAATGGATATCTTTGTTTAAATTTTGCCTGTACTCCAGCATTTGTTAATGAAAATCACCTCCAATCTTCTCACAAGCAGAAAACAATACAGTCATTTATGGGTTTCTTCAATCTTTCTCAATTCAATGATGTTCGGAATGAAAATAATAGGCTATTAGATTTAGTGTTATCAAATAAACAGTGTAGCGTCGTTAAGGCTTATGATGACCTACTACCTGAGGATGTTCACCATCCTCCGCTTGTCATGATAATCAACATGAGCTTCCATTCTAAAAAGAGTATCAATTGCGCCAGAGAATCATATAATTTCAGAAAAGCCAATTTTGTAGCACTATATGAGCAAATAAGCTTGGTTAATTGGACGTTTCTTGACAATTTAACAGATGTAAACGTAGCTTTGGAAACATTTTATAACATTCTTCGTAAAATTTTTAATATGTGTGTCCCTAGGACAAGTCTCAGATCTTTCAAATTCCCAGTTTGATTTAACGGTGAAATGATTAGAGACATTAAAAGAAAAAATTTGCTACACAAAAAGTTTAAAAAGGATAAAAGTTTGATCACATACACTGAGTTCAAAGACTTAAGGACCAAAATTAAGCGCGATGAGCGTAACGCATATCAAAAATATCTAGTAGATATCCAAAGTAGCCTATCTCAGGATCCGAACAATTTCTGGTCATTTATCTGTAATAAAAGGGGACAAAATTCCACAATCAGCCAAGTAAACTATAATGGTAAGCAGTATGACAAACCCAATGAAATTGCTAATGCTTTTGCGCTATTTTTTCAATCTGTATATACTATGCCCTCGAACGCAACTGATATCAATATTTCGGACTTGCATACTAACATAATACTTCAGAGCTTTTCCGAAGAAGAAGTTTTTACTGTGTTAAAGCAAATGAAAAATAAATTTACCTCCGGACCCGATGGAATCCCATCATTTTTAGTGCGTGACTGTGCCTACGTCTTAGCTCATCCCTTGACAAAGATCTTCAACCTATGTTTAAAGACTGACGTTTCCTAAAATTTGGGGCGAATCAAAGGTGCGTCCCATTTTCAAGAAGGGTGAAAGACTACAGGTTGAAAATTATAGACCGATAAACCTAGTATGTATCTTTTCCAAGGCCTTAAGACATTTTGCTTCATAATTTCCTATATCACCATACACATTCCCAAATAAGTACTTCTCAGCATGGCTTTATGAAGGGTAGATCAACCATAACTAACCTAGCCTGTTTTACTCAGTCAGTCTCCTCTGCATTAGATGCTAATAGCCAGGTGGATGTAATTTATACTGATTTTAGTAAAGCACTTGACAAACTTGATCACAGTATTCTGTTAACGAAGCTGAGCTATTTTGGATTCTCCCCCAAGCTGTTATCCTTTCTTAAGTCATATCTATCAGGAAGAAAGCAATATATTGAATATGAGGGTGTCAAATCCATTGAATTCTTCCCAACCTCAGGGGTATCTCAAGGCTCCTGCTTAGATCTTTTGCTTTTCATACTGTTCATAAACGATATTGTTAGCGACATCGACAGCAGCCACTTAATCTATGCTGATGATCTGAACATTTTTTCCAATGTCGACTGCAGCACTGACTGTGCTCACTTACAAAATAGTTAAATGGTGTGCTGTAAATCGACTTCCAATTAACTAGAGTAAATGTAGTGTTATGTCTTACACCAGAAAGCTAGATATTATTGCATTTGACTACAGAATTGGCAATCATTCTCTGCTGAGAGTACAAGAATGCAAGGACCTGGGTGTGATTTTTGACATGTCACTTAGCTTCAATCCTCACATTGAGTACCTTATTAATGCTGTCAACAGATTATTAGGATTTGTAATACGTAACTCAAAGGAATTAAGTAACAAAGATGCCATGATTATGCTTTATAATTCATTCATACTGTCTAAATTAGAATATGGACGGCTAATATGGAATCCATGCTATGTTACAACTTGTGGCTCTCTGGAGAAGATTCAGCGGAACTTTCTGAAATTTCTTTCATTCAAAATTGACGGTACGTGCCCACCCATTGGGGTCCCACAGGAAGACCTGTTACGTAAGCACAAGTTTATCAGTCTTGATAACAGAAGAAAGATTCACTCGCTAATATTCCTGCATAAAGTAGTGCATAGCAGTTATGATTGTCCATCATTTCTAGCACAGATTAAATTTAATGCTCCAAAATTTGTTACTCGCAATACACTCACTTTTTACCTACCTACCCCACGAAGTAACTTACTGTTGCACTCACCTTTGTACTCGATGTGTTCATGTTATAATAGTCTACAGAGTACATTTGATTTGTTCAAAACAAGTATTTCGAATATTAAGAGAGTTTGCAGTGAAATGATTTAGTTTTTAGTTTTCGTTGTATTTTTATATGTTTTTTTTACTATTTCTATTGTTGTTTTGCCACCAGTAATTGGTTAACACTGTTGGTGGTGGATTTCAATAAATAAATAATATAAAATAAATAAATTATGTCCGCTCATTATCGCGGCTCCATCATAGGTTTGTGAAATCAGTTTGTTAATGAAATTTCCTATTAGTGGATCTACGACGCACAAAATATGTCTTGTGAGAGTATCAGCGTCACATTTTTCGGAATAAATATAATTCCAAAAACGTTCTACTGGTTCGCCGTTAAATACGTATCTGAAAATTGTTCCCAGTTGGGTTTTCCCCGAAATGTCCGTTGTTTCATCTGCTATTATCGCCAAATACGAGGCTCTGTTAATCTGTTTTATTATTTCTTCATGACCAGCTTCAAGAATACAATCCTGTAGATTGTTTTGTATTTCTTTCGAAGTTCCTTTAAATATTGAAGCATTTTTTATGTGTTCGCTTAAGGTTGTATCAAGCTCAGCAGAAAAATTAACGGTATTAACGATATTTTTGATAGAACGTACCTGTTTTTGTAACGGTATCATTATGCTGTTGTATATTTCTCCAATATACTGAATCTAACTGAGCTCTGATGTTAACAGTCCCCAATAAAGCCAATTCCATCGAATTATGAAGATGTGTTTTAGAGTTTTCATGCTTCTTAATTTTTTCACTCAGGTGCACTAAATCTGTAAAACCTACCGCCCTCCAAGCTTTGTCACCCCCGAAAAGTATGCAAGGAAAGCAGAAAAGCGCATTCTTCCTGTTGCACCCACAAATCCAGTCATTTCTGGTGTAAATCTCCCTGCTGAAATGCCGCGTATAGCCCTTGCCCCGACAAACGCCCTGTTTTTCTAAAGGGTGTCCCAAAATTAACGCAAGATTTGAATTAAATAGAAAATGCCATTTTTAGTCTTTTAATAGTTATATTTTTATTGACTCATAAAGTACATAGGATAGGGTTATGTATGGAATAACACATCGGACAAATGGCCTCCACGGCTTTGCATGCACATGCGCACTCTTTTGTCGAAATTTTCCATGACCCTTCTGCATAAATGTGGCTGAATTTCGTTGATGCAGCGTTGAATCTCCTCCTTTAATGCACGGGTGGTTGTGGGCTTGTTGACATAGACTTGTGATTTCAAATAACCCCATAAAAAGAAGTCTAATGGTGTTAAATCACACGATCTAGGAGGCCAATTTTGATCACCGAAACGAGAGAGTACACGACCGGGAAATGTCTCATGCAGTAATTGAATTGTTTCACGGGCTGTATGACATGTGGCACCGTCTTGTTGAAACCACATATTGGGTACATCAATATCATTCAATTTTGGCAGAAAGAACTGTGTAATCATGTCGCGATATCGAGCACCAGTAACAATCACTGCTTGACCAGCATCATTTTCAAAAAAATATGGCCCAATTATGCCTCCAGCCCAAAATCCACACCAGACAGCCACGCGTTGTGGGTGCATTTCTTTTTCGACAATCACACGTGGGTTCTCCGAACCCCAAATGCGGCAATTTTGGCGATTGACAAAGCCATCAAGATGAAAATGTGCTTCATCGCTTAGGATGATTTTGCTTGAAAAATCAGGATCCATTTGTTGATGTTCAATAATCCATTCAACAAACTCTCTTCTCTCTGCATGGTCATTAAGCTTCAATGGTTGTGTTAATTGAAGTTTGTAAGCATGAAGACACAGATCTTTGGTGAGTATACGCTGTAGAGAGGTTCTTGACATTTGCAATTCTTGTCCACGACGTCGAATTGAGGTTCCTGGATTGTCCGCAACACTCTCACGCACTGCTTCGATATTCACATTTGAACGGCTTGTTTTTGGACGACCAGTGTGTTTGGCGTCTCCAACGGATCCAGTCTCCATGAATTTTTCAATTAATCTCTTCACAGTTGACGAAGTTAAAACACTATTCCGGCCATATTTTGTATGAAATTTTCGAACTGCAGCCGCCAAGCTTTCACTATTTTTGAAATATTCTTTAATAATGAAGACACGTTGTTCTATCGTGTAACGCTCCATTTTTCATAACCCTATACTGTTAGCTGTCAAATTGCTTTTTTTCAGGGTTGCCAACACTTCACTGCACAAATGGCGGCAAATTCAAATCTTGCGTTAATTTTGGGACACCCTTTATAAATATGTCCGGCAGCGGTCGACCTGACACCTTTAGCTCAATTATTTCTTCAAATGTGTATTTCCAGAATCGTTTCACGCTGATAAGTCTGTAAACCACATCCATTGTCTTGCCCTTCTACACAGCCACAGTCAGTCAGTGAGTCACGCTTTTAGATCCGGTTTTCTTCAACTGTGCACAAAGATGTTCCAAAGTGGGAACTTTCACTGTTAACTTTAGTGCCCATCAGGCTGTATTCTGTCACATTTCGTGTAAAAACAATAAACCACCACCTAGACTAATTACATTTAGAGACTATAGCAATTTTGATCTAACCTCTTTTGACGATGACTTATTTAGCGTTAATTGGGCTGAAGTTATTTATATGGCTAATATCGATGAGAAAGTAAAATTTATTTCCGATAACATTGTAGGCCTTTTTTACATACATGCACCACTAAAAACAGTCAGAGTGTCTAAGCCTCGTGCACCATGGCTCAGAAACAATTTGAAAATAATAATGAAAGAACGAGATAAGGCTTTTCATAAATATAGACGGTCTCGAACGGATGGGAATCGAAATCATTACAATGAACTGAGAAATTTTACAAAAACTGCTACACGTACAGAGAAATCAGGCTACCTTCAAAGTCTATCTCGACAAAGAAACTCTGCAGCTCTTTATAAAGCTCTTAAGTCATTTAGAATTCAGGATTCTAGTAATACTGACATTCCAGGTGATTTAGCAGTTCCCAATGAAATAAATAACTATTTTACCAGTATATTCCAGAAAAGTGACGATGATTGCTCGGAAACTATCGAATTTTATAGCCATAACAAATTAAACCAAGATTTTCATTTTCAGTTCCGTCTTGTCGATATATCTACAGTATTGGATGCTATTCGCAGTATCAAGTCCAATTCTAGTGGTATTGATGGCATTACCATTGAGATGATTAAATTGTGTCTACCTGCTGTAGGAATATACATTTTGCACTTAATAAATTGTTGTTTAGAGCGCGGTGTTTTTCCAAGTGCTTGGAAGGAAGCATTAGTGCAACCTCTTCCAAAGATTCCCAATCCCCAGGTTCCTGGTGATCTCCGACCTATTAGCTGTTAGTTTCTAAATGTAAATACATTGGGTGTGACGCCTTGGTTCTGGAATGGATAGATTGCTATTTAAATGAACGACATCAATATGTCGTCATACAAAATAAACTTTCAGACAAAAGGCCGATTTGTTCCCGCGTGCCTCAGGGATCCATATTAGGTCCACTTTTATTCCTTATATACACCTTTGACATTTCTAACACCTTTCAACATTGTTCTAGTCAATCATATGCTGATGATATGCAGGTTTTTCATAATTTCTGTCCGAACAACTACCATTTAGCTAACAACCTTATCAATCAAGATCTGCAATACTTATACACATATGCTGCAAAACATCATTTACGTCTAAACACATCGAAATCGACAGATGTACTTTTTTGCTCCAAGAAAAAATGTACTTTCCTCAAATCAAAGTTAAATTTATCACTAAATAATAGTATCCTAATATTTTCCCATTCAGCAAAAAATTTAGGTTTGTACTTGGATGAAGATTTCAGATTTCAGGAGCATGTTGGCTATGTGTGTAAGTCTAGTTATTTTAGACTCAGGCTTCTATATGCAAGTAAAACTGTTTTAAATAGAAAAATTAAGAAAATGTTATGCGAGTCACTCATACTCAGTAAAATCGCTTACTGCAACATAGTTTATTATCCCTGTCTGGATGAAATCACAAAATACAGACTGCAAAAAATTCAAAACTCATATAGTTGTTACATAAACAATTTAAGAAGGTACGATCATGTTTCCCCACTCAATATCTTCAATGAATTGGTTGAAAATTTCTGATCTTTTCAAATACAACTTTGTTACATTTGTCGTCAAAATATTAAAAACGTCTGTTCCGGTTTATCTTACGCAAAAGCTTGATCGTAGGAATTTAATTCACAATTTGAATACGCGCAACATTAATCTCCTGACAATGCCACAACATAGGACAGCCATTTTTCAACGGTATTTTACGTATAATGCGGTGAAATTTTTCAATGTTTCATCAGCAACTTTTCTAAAAAAAATATAAGAACTACTTATTGAGCTCTTAAGTTATTGTCTTCTCTTTGAATCGTACGTATTATGTTTTTTGTTCTAATCGTACGCATTATGTCATATCTATTAATTCTTCTTTTACTATTATTCTTCTTTTTCCTTTTCTTTTTCAGTTTTTTATTTTATTTTTAAGGTAGTATAAAGTCCATTGAATTGAATTGATTGAACTAGTCACTCAACGTAAGACCCAAAATACCTGAATAAAAAATTTTTCGCATTCAAATTTTAAGCCACGTCACGCGACACGACCAATATGCCAATACCGAGGACCGAGCACCGACCGACCAATCAGATATCGTACTTAGCATTAGATCTGTACGGATCTGCATAAATTGCAGCACATGCTTATGCTTAAATCGCGCATTTGATTTTGTAGAGAGAGACAAAAGCAAGCGCGTGCGGCTTGTGTCGAAGTAGTGCACAGACTCTTTTCAAGTGGCCCATGAATAATGTTACGCTGCGGTCGCGACGAAAATGACAAGTACACAATTGGTCGATTATAATGCTGCAAAACAGACTCGACGCCGTGTCTTGCGGGGGCAGGCCGGTATTGTTTATATTTGTGTGATAACATGGAAAATAAATAATGATCAAATTACTACTGCTTTTTTCGGTTAAGACAAAAGTTTTGGCAGTTCTGCACCTCTGCAGAACTTAAGGGCCAGCCGCCCCTGACGCCGTCAGGTATGTGGACTCTGCAGCGCCATCATCAGTTCATAAAGGATTATGATCGTCACAAGTCAGACTCTTAAGAACAAGTAGAGCAGAGAAATTAAACGGATCAAGTCAGTCAAATAGGCCCACACAATTAGTCCATAGACATTCCTTCCGAAGAGCGGCAGTAATGACAGGACATTTATTAATACTGGCACGCCCACCGCTGAATGCACAGAACTCTCATTCTCTACCATTTCAAGTGTTATGGGCAAATGTACGCGCTAATCCATGATTTGTGGAGGCGCTGATTATATTATGTAACATCCCAAAATAATGAGAAAAATGAGCATTTCACGAAAACAATGAGTAAAACAAAATAAAAAACGAATCCGTTGACACCCCGATGTTCAGCCATCGAATGACATTTTGTCGGCTAGACAGTTTACGTTGCGAACAACATAGACAGCAAATCAATCAACGTTTTGTATCCGCACATACAACTTCAAGTATTTTGCCATCAGTTTGGTGACCACCGCACTTGACTTACTGAATAAAAGGTTTTTTATCTTGTCATCCACAAGATACCAGC